CAGAAAAATACACAAGAAGGCCCAAAAAAGATTGTGTGCTCTTTATATCATCGACATAGGGAGCTGTGGTAGGCCTACAGGAGTTCACTTCATGTGGAGGGACTGTCCTGAAGGACTGTTTCCTGCCTGTAGAACAACAACAAAAGGACAAACACAACCATACTGTCACTTTTAGACTTTTACATTTCAATTTAATCTTATTGATGACAGAGGTGATTAGAATGACATCCTTGTCATTGGGTGTATGCTTTTAGATTAGATTAGAAAACTTTATTAATCCCCAGTGGGGAAACTAATTTTGCCACCCAAAAACTCATACAGACGACACAGTCCACAGTACACAACAGACAAAAACACATTACAAAGGATAAATAACACCAGACAATGCCATATAAAACATGATTGCCATGAGAAAGATAAAAACCTCTAAAGGTGTTCATTAAAGAATCGGACTGCTGCTGGAACGAAGGACCTTCTTATTCGTTCAGTAGAACACTGAGGCATCCTGAGTCTCTCACTGAATGAGCTTCGGAGTCCATTGAAGACACCGTGTAGTGGATGGCCTTCAAACAAGACTCACTTGGCCCTTGTTCGCTTTTCTTGTCAAATTGAGCCGAGAGCTTTGAGTTCATACATATGACTCCAATGGAATCCAAAATCCAAATGTCAGAGTCATGTTGGCAATAATGATCGTGATGATGATGAAGGAGGAGGATGATGACAATAACAAAATAAGTAGAATGATGAAGATAATAACACAAACACATTTTAAAAGTGTAACACCTTTCCAATCAAATGGTCAGGGTGAATGAAGATCTTTGTGAATGGACATGATCACATGAATGGACACTGAGTCCAATGACAGGAGTCCACCAGTAGGTGTCCCTTTAATGACTGCATTCCTGTTCTCACACAGTTCACTGCTTTGAAAGGCTCCAATGCCACCTTCAGTGATTTGGGTGAGTGATTTTCCTGCGCTTGGCAGAGAAAGCCTCCTAAGACCTGAGCCAAAATCAGTTTGATCCCAGTGCAGGCTCAGCACAGACAGCGCGAGTCCAACAAACTGCACATGATGATCCACTGAGAGGGAACAAGAACTCTGATTGCAGAGGCATAAAAAAAATAATCTGTGTGCTTTGAGCACATGTTTCTGACAGCAAAAACACCAGGAAGAGCTCAGCTGAAGGAGACAGATTGAAACCTCAAATCATGATCATCAATATTATCCTCAATATCAGAAAGGGTTATCTTATCTTATTTGATCTTATCTCATTGATAAATAACAGGCTGTGCCACATATATACACATATTAAAGATTCTGAGTAAGCTTTGATTGGCTACCGTTAGCTCGGTTGATGTGGACAGACTATCATTCCCAACACCTCCCCTGTTTAAATACAGTGTTTCTTTGCAAAATTGGGGCATTTGGCTATTACAGAGCTTAGAGATTTGTTTGGTATTATTGACGCGACACAGCAGCTCAGATGACATCAGGCTCTAAGCTCCTTTCTAATCATTGCAGACCTTATTGAAATAGTTAGGTTATTAGGTCACGGCTAGCTGGTTCTGCGACACCACTCACATGAAAGCCTGTCCTTGTCCCATGGCCCTTCAGCTGAGCTCCAGGGTTTCATGTAAATATAAACACAGACAGTCCGATGTGCAAGGACCTCTTGGCTGTTTTCCCCCTTTTTGTTCCTTTCTTGAAGATGTTTACTCGCTATTTTAAGAATCTGCAGCATATGTCAGCCTTTTATAAGGCCACACAAACGTCATTGAACTTATGTAGTGTGCATACAGAAAGCCTTTACTGTACAACAAAGTCATTTGATGTGGTCTAATCTGTATGTTAGCCTATGTGCATAGTAAGCTATCTATAACTGATAAGATAACTCAATGAATGTATATCGCACCTGTTAGCCCATATGCTAACAAGCGATAGCAACTAGATAGCTCTACAAGTTGTCAGGTTTATTATTTCTCTTTGATACCGTGCTAATTGTTCTGATGCCAAATGAGTGCAGATTTAAATTGAAGGAGCATTTATTTTCTGGTAAATGTGGCTCTTTAGTGATATTATTTCTGATAGCTTCCTGAGATCTACAATATACTGTGGCGATGGGATATCATTTAGATTATCTCATTGTGAATATGACTCATTTAATTCATAATGCCCATTTAATGTGCTGCTACACATTGTTAGAAGAATACAAATCAGAAAACCTCAATATACGACTGATGAGCAGTTAATGAGAGTAATCAATCAGGGCTTTAAAACAGTTTGCCTGAAGAAATTCACTGTATCTTCGTTAGAGACGCACCCAGAACAACTAATCTTCCTTTATAACACTTGCAGATTATGTATTTAATCAAATTTATCAGCCATTCAGTCTTGTGAATCACCACTATTACAAACATAAACAACTAGTTACATTTGGAGAGATGCCTTATTTCTGTTGCATCTATTTATTTATTTACTCTGTAAACTATGTCTACACGTAAATACATCCCAGAGTCTCAGTAAAACATGTCGGTGACCCCGCTTTAAGGAGCTGCTCACACATCAGTTTGGGGATTAAGTGGAGAGTTTAAATTCCAATGGTGTTTCAGAGGGCTTGCCACCCTGCATGAATATATTTCTTGGGGAAACGCTGAATGCGTGCTGACAGTGCAAAATGCTGGTTGTCAGCATCTTCAATGCAGAATTATGAGCGTGACTTTTGCTGAGCACAGACCCAAGTAAATCACAGGTGTCAATGAGGTCAGCAATGCCACTTCTCCCTTCATTAACAGGGACTGCTTGATATGTTTACATAGTTTTTTCTCTCTACTTTTGTCAAGACAAGGAGTAGCTAAGTGTGACTAATTCTCAGGGATGTCATCACAGATAGGATTATATCACTTTTCACCCAGCCGTCCTTTTAGGTACGTATTTGACCTAACAGACAAGTATTTAAAGGACATTTGCAAAAAAATTCAGCAGACGCCATCTTCATTTGTCACCTTTGAGGTGAACGACTGAAAGCAGTAAACACTACAGAGCGGTAATATTTATAACTATACTCACTAACTAGCTCTAACTGACTGCTTGGCGGGGCTCTGCCAGGCGTGTGTACTGGATATTCATCTTGCTTTTGTTTCAGCGGCTGTTTGCCTTTTCTGATTTTCAGCATAGATTGAGGTCAGGTGACTGATTTGCCAAGTTAAAACATTTCACAGTTTGTCCATAAAACAACAACAACAAAACTCTTTTTCTTGCCATGTGTATTGCAGGGATGCTGCATTGTCTTAAAGCTGTGGGAGGACTAGAGTGTAAGGCCTATCAAACACTACACGTGTGAACGCCCTCCTATACTGCCCGTACTTTAGATTGTTGTGTAGCCCTGATAAGAACGATGTGTGTGTGTGAAAGGGTGAGACATGTAAGATGAGTGCGCGGCAGTGAGCTGATGTTTCCTGCGCTGCGGTTAAGTCGAGACCGATGTTTCCACCAAGTACCGCGTCGTATTTCAGCGATAGATTTCAGGAGAGAGGGGGTCCGGGGCTACTGTTAACCGCTTACATTTTCCGATGCCTCTGCAAGCTGCTTTAAGTAGTAGAAGAGGAACCGGATAAAGCAGAGAGCCTCTCCTTTCCTCCCACTCAAGGACTCAATTGTTTCGTCCTTACAACTTTGAAGACATCAACCTTGATATGTGAATCTGTTGCGCAGGACGGAGCTCCGCTTTGAAAAGCACATATTTCCTTTATCAGCGAATATGACATGTATTTGTAACGGTACGTTAGTGAAAAAACAACAAAAAAAAAGACAGTGTGTTGCTACCTGGCATGAGGCAATGTCACATCCGGTCAAACATTTTTCAAAATATTAGTCATTCGTTATTGTAAAAAGACTGAACATGTCAGTCAATAATAGGCCTACAATGGATGGATGGATGGATGGATGGATGGATGGATGGATAGATAGATAGATAGATAGATAGATAGATAGAGAAATAGATAGGAAGAAAGTAGTCATACAAGGACTAAGATACTGGAAATGCTCTGTAGACAGTAAACGTAAACCTGCATATTATTTGACATATTTCAAACCAAACAGCAAAGAGTACTTCAGAATACATCTGGTGAGATGCAAATCTCTGCATGCTTGGTTAATTTATCACGCCTGAGAAGATGTAATTTAGAAATTGTGAAATCCATTGAGCTACTCAATTAGCCTACGGCAAATACATAAATTAAAAGGAAGGAATGTTATTTTGTCTGTTATTCACTCTTAAAAAAATAATAGGGGAAAATTGTAAGGTGAGAATATTTGTCTCTGATAGAAATGCTTTAATTTGTTGTTTCAGTCTCATCAACAAAACTGACAATTAATTTAAAAAAACTCAAGGACACATCAATGGCTGTGTTGACCTACTGGGCAGCAAATATGCATCGCAATTTGCTGTTGAGCCCCCACCTGCCCCACACATAGCCTACCCTCCGTACTGTTGCCTTCAAATTACAAGAAAGTCCAATGCCTGTCGTACGTGATGGAATAAAAATACTCAATTTTAGTTTGTGGTAATTTGACTGAAGACAACTTAATTATCGGACATCTTACATTGTGTGCGCACAATAAAAAAAAAACAATAATAAACCCCCGAAAACTAGATTTTGACACAAGGCTACCTAACAAATGTACGGTTAATTTATTACCATAAAACCACTGACATATTGCCTAGCTGTTGTGTGCCGCTGGATCTGAGGCCCCCAGGCGGGTGCCAGCTTCAGTTGGTAATCCAACCTTGGATACAGGCTATCATTTGGTGATAATCATTGAAATATGTTTTTATGACTGTTGAGTGCTACAATAGACGACAGGGATATCTGCAGGGTATTTTTTCTTTTTTTCTTTAACGTGACAAGTTTTACACTCTTATTTTGAAGCCCTTCATCCTACATGTTCCGGTCCTGTTCGACTTTGTTTGCTGAGCTTGACTCATCATCGCGATCAGAGAGGGGACGATCCCAAACCCAGCTCATTAGTGCCCTAATCGTTCCCAGCCGGTGAGAGTGTCCGCTGGTTCCAATGAGAGAACTCAGCCGTAACTCGGGACGTGCATTTTATAACCCGGGCTGACCATCGTCTCCACATGCGCTGACACGTCTCCAGACATTACGCACATCCCCTCGGCTGGTTTGACACATTGCGAGTTCACGAGACGCGCGGACGGAGAGGGAAGATGTTGCTGAAGGAGTACAGGATATGCATGCCTCTCACAGTCGAGGAGGTGAGTTTTTTTTATTTTTTATTTTTTATTTTCTTTCATTCTTCTGTTTCTTGAGTGTGTAATTTGTTACCACGACTGAGGTTCGCTATTGTCCAAGAGACGCCTGACAAGCTAAACCGTTTGTGTTCGCTGTCCGAGGCATGTTGCGTGTGAGACATGCGTTTGATACACTTCAGATACATTTGAAGCACTTTGTCGGAGCCTTAACTTTTCCCTCACGCTCCGTCTCCCTCTTCGTCTGTCGCTACGAAGAGTAACGCTTCTCCGTGGAGCCCTTTCAATCGTTCCGCTACCCCTAAATGACTACTTTTTGTTGGACCACATGCACCACAAAAACAACTTATCTGAAGCATTTCTCAGAAAGATGCTAAACAAGCATATTCCTACACGCGACTCTCGTGTCACTTTTATAAAATGTTTGTACCGTAGATGTGATAGTTTGTATGATATACTATCCGTAGAAGTTCCAATAGGAGACCAAATAGCCCTGTTTCACTAATTGCATTGCAGCCATGCTGCCCTATTGGTTGCACATGATGGCACCAACACAATGCAGAGCAGTGGTCTGTGCGCATGCTGGTGTGTTCTTCACGACCTGTGTGCACGGATAGATGTCGGACAGACGGGGCCATTGTCTGCATTCAGCCTGAGCGTTATTGGGTCTCAAGACTCGAGTCTAAAATTAGAAGGTGAAGATGATTGCTCTCTTGTCCTGGCAAGCATGCTAAACCGCACTACAGCAGCTTTTTGTTCCTCCCAATTATCACCTATGTCATAGTTTTCTTACTCCCCTCCATGGCTTGTGCTGTGGTGGTTGTTGTTGTTGTTGGCTTTTCTTTCTAGTCAGGTGGAATAATGGTGTGGCTGCAGCGCATCGTCTCCACTGACATCTTGTCAGCTCAGCTCTCGGCATCTGTGCGCTTCTCTGGAGAAACATCTTAAAGCCTAAATGAGCGCCTTGGCCAAATAATCTTAACAATATTATTTTTCCTCTTCAAACGTAGTTTTTTAGGAGGGAAAGGGAGCGATGAAGGCCGTCAATTGACTTTCTAATCTCTTACACATCTTGTCACACTTCACACCAGATGTGTGCTCATTATTCACAGGATATGAAGACATTCTAGGAGTTGAGATCAACGTGGAATGAGATGCGTCCCAGTGTTGTGTGACAGAGTGGCTGCTGGTGTACATGAAACTCTTGCCAAGTGCATGTTCAAAGAACAATAACTTGTTTTCCCCCCTCTGGCCACTGCTAGTGACTGCCATAAGCAGTGAAGAAAGGTGCTCCACCACACTGACTAGTGCAGAAACCTGTGGTTAAAAGGGTAACGCCATCTTGTAATAGGGTGTCATGCGGAGAATTGTCTGTGCATGAAGCCCTGCACAGACAAGTCTTGTGTGTGTGTGTGAGAGATGTGGGTGTTTGCATTTTTCCATTGAGCAACTCAACCTTGAGCCTTCACCGTGCGTTTATTTAAGCCCAGAGGAGTAGCGGCAGTGTTCCCGTCACATCCGTTGAACTTGTGAACAGATGGTTGTCATGAGTGTCATTATTATTTTTATTTATTTTTTTTTAAAAGGCTCTATCTGTAATCACAATTTTTATCTGTTCACCAAAATAAAATGTAAATGCAGCATTTGACTTCTTCCATCACCACCTGCTGTATGTGTGTAACTTCCTGGTACTGTAAATGACTACAGAGACCAACGCTTCCTACACAATGCAGGTCAAACCTAAAGCGTGATATGTCCGTCCAATTCATGATTAAGCTGAAGAACTAGTAAAGTTGTTTATGGTTCTTTATCAGCTGGTTTAGATTTGTTTTACTGGTTATTGCTTGAAGGCCACGGTGGTGACGGTTCCTAAGGATGGGTCAGGATACTCCTTTTGAAATATAAGTGAGGTACTCGTATTGTAACATTTAGAAGGGAATGGATGCATTAGTGTCACATGGAGCTCATTACTGCTCACAGACTCTGCACTTTGCTTCCATTTGTATTTTTGCAGGGATAAAGCCCTTTTTGGATCAATCCCAGGAAGCAGCGGGGGTGGGGGGGGGGGGACATGGAGGAGCTGCTGGGTAGTTTTATTTAATAATAAAAAAAATGTTTTTCTTATCATGGCTGCACATATTTAAGTGTAATCTCTTGTCTCCTAAAAGTTGTCTTAAAGTTTCCTGTCTGTCCAAAGGGAGAGGAAGGATGGATGGCGAGTAAGGATAAACTTGGTGCTGAGGGTTTGAGGGGAGGAGTGGGGCTAATGCGTGAAGTTCTTGAAGATATAGCTCTCTCTCTCTCGATCTCTCTCTTTTGAAATTAGCTTCCCAGGGTCATGCACTACTAGTGTGTTTGCTTTTCGATTTGGAGTCATGAGGACATGCATGTCTGTTTTATTGTGTCTGGGAAGAGATTGCCGCCTGCTGTGTTGCGTCACCACAGTCTCACTACTGCAGACGTTGGAGCGGCTATCCATGAGGCGTTTCTACAAGTTTACCAAACGTCATACACACTGAGGAAATCATTTAGCAATGCCAGAGTGCGAGACCTGTTCTCTCTGAGTCATCTCTTGTCTGGGTGTGTGCCTGGCATGTCACTGCTGCCTCTTTCCCTCCATTGTCTTCATTTATACTTCAAACAAAAAATGAATAGCTCAAAGTCTGGTACCAGGGTAAAAAAATCCCAACTATTAACATCTCTAAAGCTCTTTAATCTAACATGTTCTAGTAAAAACCACAAGTTGTGGTTTTACGATGATTGATGTTCACATTTTACCAAAAGAATGTATTGTCGTCGGAACTTCTGAAATGTATAAAAATAGGCATTCTCTGGTCTAGAAGTCAGCTCACTGCTCATCAAGGTAAGTGTCATAAGAAGGGCCAGGATGACTCGGTGTAACGGAATCAAGAAACTCAGGTCTGGATGAAGTCTGTAACTTGGGAGGAGTTCAGTCCCAGTATAGCCTCTGTGTTTGCTTATCGGTTTAAAGTTCCGTCTCAGATGAGATTTAGCTGTAACTCTAACCAGAACCACTTAGCCAAGAAATAATCATTTTCCCTCTTCAGTCCCTCGGGGATAACTCTGCTCTGTGCTCCTGTGAGCGGGGCCGTTCATCAGCCACCGTGCCCATTACACGGATAGATGTGTTCCCTCTCTCACTGTCTGTCCATCGTTATGTCTTTCTCTGCTGCAGTAGCTCTCACTTGCACCTCTGTCTTTGGCTGACATGCCCCTTTTTTTCCAAGCTCCCGAGGAAAAATGCTGACATCGCCCAACCTCTGGCCGACCTGAGTCACTGTGCGACTCCTGCGGTACTCCTGCCATATTCACTAGTGGTGCAACGGATCATAAATGTCCCGGTGATATTTGTGTCGCGGATCAGATCAGCACAAAAGAAAATGGGGAGTAAATATAACTTTTACACATCTGTGATCGTGTTTTTTGCCGCAGATACTAATTGATGATCCATATTGGCAGATACAGATCCTGTTTGTTTGGTTATAGCAGCTGGTCTACAAAGCTCCAGACTTAAAAAAAAAAAAATGTAATTAAAACATTTTTGCGACTGTACCAAAAACAATTGAAATTGCTCTGAAGTCGGTGTTAACATCATAAATTCTAAACGTTATCCTTTTCACTTTTTTATAGTGTTTTTATGAAAAAAGGGAATTAAAATGATAAAGAAATAAGATTGTATTTTATAGAACAAATCTTGTCATGAGTAGTCTTATTGATGTAATATAAGCTGCTTAGAGCTAGTGTGAACAGCTCATAATTCATCTCTAATATCTATTTGTTGTGAAACTATTTATTCAAGTTTATCACCAACACTACGTTTTACGAGATTGCTTTTTAAGTTGCCTTCCCCAATACTCATTTTCACTGAACACATCATCATGTGAGTGTTCATTGGCTGCTACTAACTTTACTAGATCACTCGGTTTAAACACAGATTGGTTGTTTACAGTGTAACATTATCAGAGGTCAGCGACTAGAAAATCAAAAATATTTATGTCCTGGTTGCATATTTTACTGAATATTATCAGCAAAACTGTATTTTGGTTAACGTTAAATGAATCCGCGGTTCACATGCGTGCCGAACCGTGAGGGGGGATCCGCACAGATCGACAGTGGTCCCGTTGAAAGCTTAATTAACTGAACATGTGTTTCGAATTTGATGTGGTCAATAGACGGTCGTACCCGTTGGCCAAATGGCTTTTTGATGGGGTGTTAACTCTGGCAATAACTGGTGGATTATGGCAGCATCTGATTGTGAATGATATCTGCCAGTGTCATATATTCACAGTAACCCCAAAAGGTGTCATCATTTTGACCACCATGCTGTCTATTCAGACCAGTGAAGTAGCATGCGGGTATAATCACCTTTGAGATCCTGAAGTGGCTTTTGCAAAGGGAAGTTGCTTGTTTTGGTGCTGTTGACGGGCTAAGAGGATGGATAGTCACCTGGGTTGCTGGCTCACGCTGCGGCATTTCGCAAAGCATAAGCGCCTCTAAAAGTAATGGCCTTGCCAGAATTCATTAAAGGGACAGAACATCTAATATTCGCCTAAAACATGGAGTTCACACCCATCACTAAAGCCTCATTTGGGCTCGCACCGTGTGCTTCAAAGATGCACACCTGCATCTCCAAAGGTCAAAACACGCACAACCATTGGTCTGAAAGCAGCTGGTACACAGAAGTGTAACTGGCACCAGATGTGCTGGTACTGTATAGTAGTGGGCCCACCAAGTACCGTAATAGGATTGGAGCTGCCTTGTCACACTCTCATATTGTGCTTTCACCCACGAAGGATTATGTGCCTCACATGTACAGACGTGTCCATGTTGTAGAGACATCATCTTAGCCCTCAAGCATGACGGTGACAATTTGAACCATTTCACGCATCACTATCTTCCATGGCTTGAGGCATGGCGTAATAAGTGGATGAACTGTTTATTTAAGCCACGTTTTCACAACGGGCAATAGAAGATTTCGTCAGTGT